ATTATAAAATCAGAAAAGAGATGAAAACTGTAGATAAAACATCACAGATTAGACCCAGTGAAATAATGTCAATATACTATACATCCACATGTCTTTTTTTAATGGTTGAATGTCTGTTTAAAATTAAAATTTAATTCCTTAATAAAAGTGTAATTATAATTATTATTTCTGTATAAATTTATATATTCAAAGTGGGGTTCCCCCATTAAGATTGCTTTTTTTTTGTGGTCAACTCTCCCACTAAGATTGCTCTTATGATGTTTTAATGTGTTACTTCATCTCTCTTTTACTAGACATATTCCACACCATGTTCCACCATTTTGTGCAAGCCTACCTCCAAATATCCTCCTATCTTCATCCAAGCTGCCCCCCCTTTTAATCAGTAAAAATAGTAAAGAAATCAAAATATTTAAAAAGAATGTTGATAGTAAAAAACTTGAGGTAGATAAAATGTTAACGAATGCCAGCTAGCCTTCGTTCCCAAGTTACTCGGTTTGAAAACATGGACACTCTTCTGCTTTTACTCCATTGGAAGCCTACAATATCCATATTTTTCTTTGAAGGATATTTATTAAGTTTTTGATGTTTGTAATGTACACCTTCATATCTGTTTTTATAGCCGAGTGTAAGACTTACTATGTTTTCATAGCCGAGTGTAAGAAGATATATACATAGTTCTAAAAGTATACAAAGTGGCATATAAGTTTGCTAATCCGCTGATCTAGCTTCCGGTTCTTAATCTCTGAGCCTTTCTGTTTCATATTTAATATTCTACTGATTTAGTAATGGTGATTGGGAACACTTAAAAAGGATTTTTTTTGGCAACCTTCAGTTTCTTTCATTCATTAGAATTGTAATTGTAATGGCTTAGTAGAAGGCCAGGATATTAAATAATCTTTTTTATTTATCCTAGCATTTTTGGCTAAACTATCAACTACATTTACAAAGATTCGAGGGACATGATAGAAGCTAAAATTATTTGACATATTAAAAAATTATTTAATACGGTTGAATATTAAAAATATATACCACTATTTATATAAAGTAAATATTAATTTACTAAAGAATAAAAAAATCCATACGAACATGCGGGTCAAATTCTAGTTGAAGTTAAAAAATGATTGTCAAAAGATCGATACAATTTACAATTAGCTGGAACACTCCCAAAGTTTCCAAAATGGGAATATGACAAGTCCCTAGTTATTTTAGTATGTTTTTCATAAAAGTTCTTAGAGTATGTTTTTATGTTCTCACTCTTTTTTCTGTGGATTTATAAAAAGTGAAAATACACGGTAAAAGAAATTATGCAGCCATAAAATCAATGACCATAGGAAGGATTCTACAATAAAAATAAACACTACAATGAATTTAATGTAGTTTTTGTTGAAGAGTTTATATATTTTACGTGAATATAATTTTAAATTGATTGATGCCAATAAGAATAATGAACTTTTCAAATTAACAAAAACCAATTAAATTAACTGAATTTTATTTTATTTTTATAAGCATGTAGATATGATCATAATTTTAAAATTTTAATTAAAGAATATTTTTTATCTTTTTGTTCATTTTTAGTTTCTTAGAAGGCAAAATTTTTATAGTTCTTTTGGAAATGCTAACCGGAGAAACGAAACGTAAATTTTGGAAACATTGGTTCCGAATGGTGATGGCAAATTTCGTAATGAAAGCGGTGCGGAATTTAAGTGTGGGACGGTGAAACTGCGGTTCAAGCGGAATTGAAGTGCGGTACGGTAAAACTGCGGTTTTAAATAAAAATATTGTTTGATTGGTGATAATATATATTTGCGGTATTGAATAATTTTTTTATTAATAAATTAATAGTAGATGTTAAGTATATAGTGTAATTGAATTATATAAATAAGATATTAATATAATAAAAATACTTTAAATTAAAATGTCATAAATATATATATATTTGAAATGAATATACCTCAAACTAATTTTAATTTCAATTTTAGCTTTATTAAATACAGACGTAAAGTTTCATTTTTATATATTAGCAACAATTATAATATTGATTTAAATAAAATAAAACATATTACATTAGTGAGAAGGAACATGTTTTAAAAAAACATATTTTAAATAGTGGTGCGAAATTATGTTTGATTGGTGATTTTTTTGCTATTTGTTATAAAATTAGTAAAAATAATAGAAAGTACTTTTAAAAAGACTGACATATGCTCTTCCAATTATTGAAATTTTCATAATTATAAATTAATTAAGTTAATATATTTACATATATATATATATGTATAACTATAAGAAGTTTTCGTATTTTACATAAACTAGTAGTAATATGTAATTATTAATTAAATAGGATTTATCTAACTCATAATGTAATTAAATATGATTATTGTTACAAATTAAATTTAAAATACTAATTGACATGATTTTCCAACAAAAAAAATCACTACTGTTAATAAACAAAATAAGTATTTTAAACGTCGGAAAACCTTTTATTACAATGTACATACAATTACGTAACATACACATTTAGATTATATTTATATTTAAATTGAAGTAATATTTTAAGGAAAAAGGCTGATGTCCGGTGCGTTTTTGGTTGAACCGCTGGTTATTACACGCTTGCTATTTTCATGTGCGTTATTTTGTTCAATGAATTGTTTTTCTCTGTCCTGAATTCTGCGCGAGATTTTCTTAAATAACGTAAATTATTAGTTTACATTGTTGATTGGTGACATATGCGCGGTTTTTGAAATAACGCATGTAAAATTGCACCACATCAAGTCCCCAATTACTACCATTATATTTTTCTTAAATTTTGCTCAAAATTTTCTTAATTGTTTTTACTTTAGTTTTTTGAATAGTTTTTTGAATAGTTTTTTTTACTTTAGTTATATCACCAATCAAAGGCTTAGTTATATCACCAGTCAGAGACATCATAAAATTATTTGAAACATGGTAAGAATGTCACTTTCACTCCAATTGAATGCAACTGTTCCCATTGTTTTGTTTGAAGAAGTATCGTTGTATGCTATTTAATCTTTGTTAGAACACTTCCATCGTTAGAGTTCTTACTCGACATATCTAAGAATACTAACAATATTAAATTATAAAATCAGAAAAGAGATGAAAACTGTAGATAAAACATCACAGATTAGACCCTGTGAAATATTGTCAATATACTATACATCCACATGTCTATTTTCTAATGGTTGAATGTCTATTTAAAATTAAAATTTAATTCCTTAATAAAAGTGTAAATATAATAATTATTTCTGTATAAATTTATATATTCAAAGTGGGGTTCTCCCATTAAGATTGATTTTTTTTTTGGTCAACTCTCCCATTAAGATAGCTCTTATGATGTTTTAGTGTGTTACTTCATCTCTCATTTACTAGACATCTTCCACACCATGTTCCACAATTTTGTGCAAGCCTACCTCCATATATCCTCCTATCTTCATCCAAGCTGCCCCCCTTTTAATCACTCAAAAATGTAAAAAAATCAAAACATTTACAAACAATGTTGATAGTAAAAAACTTGAGGTAGAGAAAATGTTAACGAATGTCAGCTAGCCTTCGTTCCCAAGTTACTCGGTTTGGAAACATGGACACTCTTATGCTTTTACTCCATTGGAAGCCTACAATATCCATATTTTTCGTTGAAGGATATTTATTAAGTTTTTGATGTTTGTAATGTACACCTTCATATCTGTTTTTATAGCCGAGTGTAAGACTTACTATGCTTTTTGATTTGCTTCTTCAACTTCTCTACGCGCTTAAACAGAAGTTATTTAGTGTCATTGTCAAACTTACGAATATTTTTCTAACGGTCATTTGGGTGTGTAATATTTGAGAAGATATATACATAGTTCTAAAAATATACAAAGTGGCACATAAGTTTGCTAATCCGCTGATCTAGCTTCCGGTTCTTAATCTCTGAGCCTTTCTGTTTCATATTTAATATTCTACTGATTTAGTAGTGGTGATTGGGGACACTTAAAAACATTTTTTTTTTGGCAACCTTCAGTTTCTTTCATTTATTAGGATTGTAATTACAATGGCTTAGTAGGAAGACCAGGATATTACATAATCTTTGTTATTTATCCTAGCATTTTTGGCTAAACTATCAACTACATTTACAAAGATTTGAGGGACATGATAGAAGCTAAAATTATTTCTCCCTGCAATTATTCTATTCTAATGTCGTGGATTATGGATGCTGCCTCAGATCTTCTCTTAAAGACGATTTCTACTTTTTATCAAAAGATAACAAAAAGTGGTGTCTAATGTGTCACGCAAGTCTCGAATCCGAGTAATGTTTGGTTCTAGTTCATTGTGTCCATTTTTTTACCAGTGAATAATGATCCAAATTATGGAAAATTTAAAACCTATTATTTTCCTAACGAGAGTCTTGGTGAACCAAAAACAGTTTAGTAATATTCACAAAATATCAAATGTTAATAAAATCTTTACTAATTAGTGAATTGAAGCTAAAGGTCCACAACACTACCAAAATCTCCAATGACACGTCATTGGTTGTTATACGATCGTTGCTATAGATATATGATCCAATCTGAAGAGAATATCGTCGATAAGATCCAAGGGTAAGCGATCCATGATCAAAAGATAAATAAAATGAGAATCTCCCTACAGAAATTACAACTTCTGCCTTGTTTTGTTGATGTGAATATCTTTGTTTTGTTCAATGATTGTGTTTGTACTGATGATTATAAGATTGTTAAATAGACAGAAAATTCTAGCATAGCATACACAAAAAGAAATAACAATCAACCACACTTAAAAGGACAATCTCATATGTCAATAGGCAAATAATATCAATTAATTAATTTTTGATGGATTTTGGAATATAATGTAGTCTTTTTTTTTATACAAATCATTCTTCTTCGTTAATCTGTTTCAAGTCCTGTCCAATCTTGGTTAACCAGTAATCTGATTCAGACTTCTAACCAAGCACAACTCTACTATCACCAACATTCATCACATAGATATCTTCACCTTTCATCAGCATCACAAGAACCCATCAAAGCTAGCTCAGGGTTCTCGTCAAGCATCTTATCAGCAGTGTCTAGATACGCTTCTTCTGTCTTCCTCAAAGCTTGTGACAATGCCTCTAGAACATCTGAATGGTTCATCAACTGATCCGACCCACTTCTCCTATTATTAACCTGTTCCTTTAATCTACGGTCAAGATCTTTCTTCTCTCGATCCCACTCACATCTTCACCGTCCCTCACAATGACCATTAATATCTTCCTGAACAACTCGGTCTGAATCAAGACAAGATCTCTCTAGCTCCTGAGGCTTTGGATTCTCGTCCCACAACAAACCTTTAAGCTCCTTATGAAGCGTAGGGTACATATGAGAGAGAAGATAATTCGTTGCATCTGGACTGTTGAAACCGTTGTATATTCCAACGAAAAGCCAACCGTGCTCCTCAGAATCGACGACGTGTACATGATCCTCATCGGCTTTCCCCTGAGCTCACTAAAGATTTTGACTCTCGAGCGAAATGTCTTCGTCTAATGTTCCTTCACTGCCGAAGTTTAAGCTATTAACCGTGAGATTATTATTATTATTATTATTATTATTATTATTATTATTATTATTATTATTATTATTATTATTATTATTATTATTATTATTATTACTAAAGATTTTGACTCTCGAGCGAAATGTCTTCGTCTAATGTTCCTTCACTGCCGAAGTTTAAGCTATTAACCGTGAGATTATTATTATTATTATTATTATTATTATTATTATTATTATTATTATTATTATTATTATTATTATTATTATTATTATTATTATTATTATTATTATTATTATTATTATTATTATTATTATTATTATTTTTGTTGAGGTTCTTGCTCTTCTCTGACCTAATTCCCAAACTAACGGACTTGATCGGAGCGACGATCGAGTTCTGCCCACACGAAACCGTCCTCGAGATCACACGGCAGAGGATCCGAACCAAAGACCGTTTTCTCGACCCGACCCATAAAGCTAAACCTTGGGAGAAGCTACGCTGAAACTGATGATCAACGGAGGTGGGCTTCTCAAGCGGGCCTGATGATATCCCAACGGCACGGTCCAGCGGACCGGAGAACAAGAGGACCGGTCTATATGAAACCCTCTTTCGATCAGACCGGAGCCCAAGAGGACCGGACCACCACCACTACCAGCACCACCACCACCGCCACCGCCGGAGAAGCTTTTGGGGATGGGCTGGAGAGGGATCGAGGGAAATGACGTCATGCTCTCGAAAGCTGCAGCGCGGTCTATGTGACCGTAAGAGTCGTTGAGAGAAGTGGAGAGAGGAATGGCGGTGTTGGCGCTGACGGAGGTGCCGGAGATGGTTCGGAATATGGTGGTCTCTTCCTCTTAGTGGACTTTGGAGCATGTGATTAGGGTTGGTTCGGTTCGGACATAGTCGAAAGAATGGCCTAAGCCTTCGTCTAGTGGATCAGGTGGCAGAACATATATGTGTTTTTGTCGGAAACCATCTCCTCTGTCTGTGAAACATGTACTCAGTTTTGTCACTACGTTACCCATCTAGATTAAAAAATTTCAACCCAGAAAAGAAAAAATTGAATTCAAAATTTCCAGGGAAATTCAAATTTGGTATTAGAATTGAAGTTTCTCAATTTATGGTAGAAAACAGAGGAAGAAAATGATGAGAGAGAGAGAGAGAGAGAGAGAGAGAGAGTTGACTCATGTGCATAGAATAACCGATTAGGATTATCAGATGAAAGGAATATAAGAAAACAAAAATATATAAGAGATATTATTTGTTTTTTGTCTGATAAATCTTTGAAGGAATTTTTTTTATTGCCAGCCGAAGTAGATATAAGCTATAAAGTCTGACGTTAAAATGAATTAAATGAAAATCTTATTTAAGAGTTGTAAATAAAGCAGAGGCCTTCAAAATTCTAGGACTGGCTCTGAAACAAAGGGAGAAGCTTTGACTAAAAGGAGTATTAAACTCAGGGGTTTCTATTCTTATTGGGAGATATGCAACAGCTATGGTTCCGAATGGTAAAAGCAGTTCAAGCAGGACAGATCAGGCAGATCATGCAGATCAAGCAGGACAAGTGCAGATCAAGTGGATCATGTAGAAGAGATGCAGATCAAGCAGGAGAGATGCAGATCAAGCAGAACAAGTTATTTTAGAAGTTATGAATGGTAAAAGCAGTTCAAAAAATGCAGATCATGTCTTTGAATAATAAAAATTACACCAAAATATCAAAATACATAATGAAAAAATACATAAACAAAGGTAAAATAATTTAATGATTTGCCCATAACATATCTGCGATGTTGTCTCTAATGTTCATCATATGATTTCCATCAGCCCTATTTGTTGTCTCCAAATCACGAGGATCACTTTCAGAATCTCCGTCGCTGAAATTTGTGTCTCTCATTATTTCAACAAAATCCTCATCGAAATAATTTGAAATTCTGATGAAATTGTGTAGTCCCATTGTAGCAGTTACCACTCTTTTTTGAACTGCAATATCATATCTCGGAAAATCACTCAGAATCCTCCATTTCTTCTTCCAAACTCCAAATGTCCTTTCAATAACAGAACGTAGAGATGCATGACATCGATTAAACAACTCTTGTTTATTCTTAGGAGGAGGACCGTTGTTGAAATGAGACATGTGATACCTAATAACCCCATTCCGAGAAGATCTATAGGGAGCCAAAAAACCTCGCTTATTTGGATATCCAGAATCTACTACATAATACTTGTCTGGTGGAGGCAAAGGAAATTCAGAATCACTGTCTTGTGCCATCGTAAGAACTGCTGTATCATGACAAGATCCGGGTGCTCGATTCCAAACATATGTAAACAACATATTTAGATCACATATTGCCATGATATTAAACGATGTCCTATCATGTCGATCCCAGTACATTCCTTTTAGTTCAGGCTTCACTTTAACACATACATGAACTCCATCCATAGCTCCAACAAATCCACTAAAATATGGCCAATATCTTCTGTCTGTTTGCAGTCTTTCAGGAATTCGAAGTAGATCTTGTCATGTTGGAGTCTTGACATAATCACAAGCAAGTAATTCCGTCGCTCTCAGAACTTCAAAAAACTTTCTATTCACTGTCTCTTGTGTCCGTCCAAACCATAACCCAACATCTCTTTGAACTTCATTATGCCCACAAATTTGCAAAAACATTGCTACTCTCTCTTCGATACTAACATTCATCGTAGGATGCAAACCATATTTTGATTGGAATATGTCATAAAGAGATCTAAAAGCATCCAGAGACATTCGTAGTAACTGAAGACATGCAGCAGCATCTACTTGTAATCGACCCCAAATATTTCTCCACCCTAAACCGCCACCGGTTTGAACTGGTCCTCTTTCAAAATAACGATTGTAATAACTCAGTGATGGTTGATATTATTAACTCTTTAAATTGCTCATTTTCTAGATTCCATAACTCAATTCTCTCATCATGAGTTAGACTTTGGGGATTTTGTGATCGCAACTGACATATACGAAAAGCCTGAAAATATTTTTATCACAAAATAAAGACTTAATCAATGAAAAGTACCATTAATCAAAATATAATACAATAACAGAAATTACAAAATATAATTTGAAACAAAACATAACCATTACTAACAAAACACAAATCTTATTAAACTAGTTATCTGATGTGGAATCACTTTCATGTGTTTCATTTAGATTTAGTTCTCGTTCAGATCCCCATATGTTGAATAATTCTCCTCTTCTTGGACGTGATGTTTTACTTGTAGAAGCATAGTTTGTGAAACCAAATTCTGGTGATACTCCTCTGGCAACATTCTCAGAAACATGATCTTCCTTTTCATTTGTTGTAGTTTATACTTCTGTTTCTAGGGAAAATCCACGTTGAACATTGCTCGGAGGAATATATTGTGGAGCATCTTGTGATGAACCCCATTGATGAGTGGTCGGTGATGAACCCCATTGTGGAACAGCAGATGTAGGATTCCATTGTTGAGTATTTGGTGATGAACCCCATTGTTGACTATTTGGTGATGAACCTCATTGTTGAGAATTTTGAGGTGCACTCCATTGTGGAACATGTTGTGTACCCCACTGCGGAGCATTTGGAGATGAACTCCATTACGGAGCATTTGGCGGTGCACCCCATTGTGGAGCATTTGGTGGTGTAACCCAATGCTGAGCATTTGAAGATGAACCCCATTGTGGGGAATTTGGTGGTGTTCCCCACTGTGGTGCAGCTGGAGGTGTACCCCATTGTGGTTGATTTGAAGGTGTTCCCCATTGTTGAAAACCAGAACTCCCATGCCCACAAGTTGGACTACCAAACTTTTGCCCAGATTTTAACCGCTTTCCACGTATTCGCTATCCTGTGTATATACAGTAAGAGGTTGTAAAAACTTCAATTTTTCTTCTGTGTTTCTTTCCGCTCTGTCAATAAAGTACTTGTGCCAAAATCTTTCTTCTTTGAATGCATGAATGCACCCCCAATAGAAATTGGTGTCATTTGGTAGCCCCATTGATTCGAATATCTTCACAGCGGTATCGAATTCATTGTAATCATCTTCGTCAAAAGAATTTGGACGTAGTTGTTGTAAACTTTGGCGTTGAAACTCTCGAAAGCCAGTCATTGTATCTGTCAGGGTTGTCTCGAATGATTGTTTTCTTCGACTTCCTTGGGATCCACTTCTGACAGAGGTTCGAGAATTTCCTGCACTTCTTTGTGAACTACTTCCACGTCTTAGTCTACTTCATTGTTGAGCTCTTGAAGTAGGAATCTGAAAAGGGTCAGCAGTAAGTGAAGAATTCTGACGCAGATTCTCAGGGATGAAATCATTTGAATGACGCATTTCATCATCAATATCAACACGATAGACTTCTTCATTTTCTTGTGTTTCAGGAACCTCAGTGTGTTGCATATCACCACCATCTGTTTCAGAGTAAAAGTGACCTTCATCATTGTTTTGACCATCATTCATCAACTCTTCTCTTCTTTGGTGCAAAGAGTATTGAGATTGTGACTGGACGTCATATAAAATGAAACATCGTTGCATCACATCCCAATGCTCCGGCGGCTTTCGTTTAAATGATTTTACAATCATGTCTACCTGTTAATAGAATTATATAGGTTTTAGACCACAAATATTATAGATTTGGTCATTTATTAAACTTATGCTGGTTTTATAAGATTTTGTTGTACTTACTTCATGATCTCTCCATCATGAATTAGACGCAGATATCACAGATGTCGTAGGATCAACCGAAATGCCCGTAGAATTTGTCATAAGATGCTTGTACTTCTTGTATTTTCTTTTTAGTTGATCAAGTTTTTCTTTGAAGAACCGGTAGTTTACGTTACTATTGAACATTTGGTTGAAATTATTAACGAGAAACTCTTTGCCAGCGAGTGTAGGATCTTTGAAACGGTAATCACCCATGGCAATTGCTCGATCGTACAACTCAATAAATACTCGTTCTCGGTTAGGATTCCATCTAAAATTGTCTTCTCTCTAAATATTTTTTTAAAAAATCAATCATTTTATTTTACTATTACTTATTCTACCATTTAAAAAGAAAAATTTAATACTTACCCGTACCGATGTTTCTGTAGGTAAATTCACATCTTCTTCATCGGAGAATGTTGTATGTTGTCGGCGATTTAACGTCATATCTACAATTTTAAAGTAATGCAATCTTTATTATTTGGTTGATTAAAAAAATCAAAGTAATTTCTAGATCATTATTAAATAATTTTTCTAATTCTTATAGTATATCTTTCTAACAGATATATATATATATATATATATATATATATATATATATATATATATACACATCAGAAAATAATATTTGTTATTTGTTTTTACACTAAAAATTAATTATTACAATAATATTTTAATAATTCTTATAGCTTAACGTTTTTTAAAGAATACGGTCATATATGTATTTATATATATGTACGTTTTCTTTCTATTGTGCTTTGCACGTGAATTCAAATATAATATATCTTCCTCTAATTAGCATATATATATATATATATTTATAATCTATTGTAATGTTAATTTACATGTATACTAGTATCACCGTACGCATGGATTTCTAAGATATATTTTAATATTGTCATAGTTTTTTTGACTAAAAATAATATTGTCATAGTTTAAATTTTTGATAAGAATAAATATTTTTACAAAAATTTTCTCAACAGTGTCACATAATATTAAAGGTGGAGACATGTTTGTAGTA